ACCTGTAATCAAAAAGAGCCCAGCGTGAGGGGCCCCTGGGTGGCTCAGCCGGTTGGGTGTCCGGCTCTTGGTTTCAGCTCAGGTCATGATTTCAAGGTTGCGAGATCGAGCCCTACATCAGGCTCTGAGTGGGGTGTTGGAGCCTGCTTGAGATTCTCTTTCTCCCTCTGTCCCTTATCCCCTTTCACTCTCACGCACTGTCTTTAAAAAAAAAAAAAAAATAGCTCAGTATGACTTGAAAACAGACCACGAACTATCAACTATAGTATCTAGTGTATGATACAGTCTAGATGAAGAAAATTTAATTGACCTAAATTGTGTCCAGAGCTTAACAAAATGCCCCCTTGTGCATTAAAATTAATCTCAATCCTTCAACTGCATTATCTGCAAAATAAAAGAGCTAGTGACCATTAAGATTCCTTTCAATTTCAACCTTGAAAAGCTGAACTTAACATTTCATCCACAGCCTACCCCCCCAACCCCAGTTTCAAATTTAATAATTTGGGACAAGAATAGCTCAGTAAACCAAAAGCATCTACAGGGAGAACAGAGGCTAAGATCAGGAGTCAAACTTCCAAACTAAGCAATGCTCCCCATGTACAAGAACCCCCCAGGAAGACAGTAATTTATGAGAAAGTGCTTTTACAATTTTTAAACACTATATAAATGTAAGGTGAAATATTACAGAACAGCATTTTTTCCCATATGGTGAAATGCTGGCAATCTTCAGATGTAATTGAAAATATTATTCTCTCAGGGCGCCTGGGTGGCTCCGTGGGTTAAAGCCTCTGCCTTCAGCTCAGGTTCTGGGTTCGAGCCCTCATCGGGCTCTCTGTCCAGCGGGGAGCCTGCTTCCCCCTCTCTGCCTGCCTCTCTGCCTACTTGTGATCTCTGCTTGTCAAATAAATAAAATCTTAAAAAAAAAAAAAGAAAGAATGAAAGTAATATTCTCTCATATCCAAACGTAAGGTCACTACACTCAAGTCCCCAATATAGCTTTGTTGTCCAGATAATTAAAAGTTGTAGTTGTACAATGGGAAGAAAATGTTTAACTGCTCACTTTACTGTATCTCTTCAGCTGGTGAACAGTTTTTCTTATTTGGGACAGGCTGTACTTAAAAGAGAACATAGCATTTCATGATAATAAGCCCAACGGCTGAATTTTGATCAGACTGTTGTGCAGAGCCTTGAGCGCAATACAGTAAAATAGGTCTGCTTTGATAAAACCAGCAAGGCTCACTAAGACTTTTGTTCAGTGGCTGGAATCCTTACATTTAGGCATTTGAAAGGCCATCACTTTGTAATCCGGCGATCTATACTTCCTAAAGTATACCACTTCCCGAGCTCTGCTGGGCCCTACAATCTAATAGCTCACTTTAGAAAACAATATGGTGGGGTGCCTGGGTGGCTCAGTGGGTTAAAGCCTTTGCCTTCAGCTCAGATCATTATCCCGGGGTCCTGGGATTGAGCCCCATATTGGGCTCTCTGCTCAGTGGGGAGCCTGCTTCCCTGTTTGTCTCTCTGCCTGCCTCTCTGCCTACTTGTGATCTCTGTCTGTAAACTTAAAAAAAATAATAAATTTTAAAAGAAAGAAAACAATATGGTAAATCTACATTAAAAAAAAAAAAATTTAAAGGAAAACCCAACACCCCACAGTTTTGTTTCTCCTCTAGGCTGGCCTCCAGTTTAACGAGGAGTGACAGTTGATTGGGAGAAGGCTGCCATCTTGTGGCCAAGAATGAGAACTTGTTCCAAGAGCACTGCCTGTGACCAGAGCCTCTGACAGTGGCTCCTGGAGGAAGGAAGACTTCCTCTCCAGCTCCTGGTGCATCCCAAGCCTCCCCACTAACAAGAACTAAGTCTTCAGAATTTACAATTGAGAGGACAAGTAATCTTGCATACACCTAGCTTTAGGAGGAAGATGAATGGGAGAGGGGAGGGAAAGGTGTGGGTTTCCCTATGAGTAAAGAACTTCTGTAAGTCTGGTTTAAAGAATTCGAGACAGAAGCCCAGAGAGACCAAATAACTCAGTCAGAAACCCCATCTCCCCTCTCCCTGGGACTAAAGGTCCTGGGACTCTGACAAGGAGAGTTCTTCTTCACCCATACTCTTCCTCCTGATTTCTCATCACTTCTCCCCCATAACCTCAGTGGGGAAAGTCAAAAATTATTGACATCTAGAGCTTAAAGAACAGCTAGAAAATTCCTCTATTTCATCCCAGATTTAACTGGTGGTGAGGAGGGTGAGGACTTCTGGATAATGAGGCTCCATATCCATGCTATCCCAGAACTTTCTGCAAGGATGAAAAGGACCCCCATCTACACTCCCTTGTAGTGTAGCCACGACACACAGATAGCTACTGAGCACTTGAGCACGACTAGGGCAATGAGGAACTGAAGTTTTCATTTTAATTAATTTTGATGAAATTGCACACGTCTGGTGGCTCCCCTACTGGACAGCATAGCTGTAAATTTTGCCTTCCTTATCCATTCCAGCATGTCACCTTAATACCAAAAAAAGTAATAAAAATAAATCTATCTTGTTATATTCAAAAAGCTATGTTTTTACTACCCAATGAAGAAAGTGTGTTAATTTTATATAGCATACAAAAATAGAAAACATGGAAAAAAAAATAGAAAACATGGTCTTTGATTTCCAGGTATATGCGATCAAAGGGGTGGGGATAAACATGCAGACATATAACTAGAACCAAGATTGGGAGCTACCGGGCTGGGTTAATGTAGACTTGCAACCCAGACAAGGCTTTAAAAGGTCACACAAAAGGAGGAAGGGACACAGGCATTTAGAGAAGGGCCAGGCTAGAGCAAGGAAGAGAGATAGGAAGTCCTGAAGTCCTTTCAGGAAATGCCAGGAAGATCTACCAACTCAAAGAGTGGTTTTATGTAAGGAGGTCATGGGAGACCAAGTTAGAAAGGTTAGGACCAGTTTCCAAACATAAAAATGAGACACCCAAGGGGGGAACAGTGGCAATAAAAAGGAAGGCACCCATTCAAGACTGCAAAGCAGAAGGAAACCACACTTTGGAAAAGGTAAATTCTGGGGATAAGGGAGACTAAGAGAAGATTCAAATGTTTTAATCCAGGGTAAGTGGAAGATTACTGGTACCATTCATGGGGCAGATACTGGGACAAAGGGGCAATGGAGAATGTTCGAAGTCTCAAGGTTGATGAGAGAGCCAGGTAGGCCAAAAAGCACTTTGAGAAGTGAAATAAGACAGAAGAGTGGAGGGGTGACAGGTAGGAGTCAAACCAGAGACCACAGCCTGAAACCATAAAGTGGAAGGGCAGATATAAGATGGAGAAGGAAGCAAAGAAAACCAAGGACAGACTCTGCCTCTGATGGTGAACAGCCCCCTTGCAAGGATGAAGGAGGCATGGAGTCATCGGGAATACCTGAAGAAGCAATTCTACAACAGCGCAGATTAAATCCTAATGACAATCCTACCGGAAGAACCCAGTATCTTTAGAGGGTGATGCGAAGGGCCCCCAGAGGAGAGGGAACCAACGAGCTTTTGCCTCGATCCTGTGCAAAAGCAGCAGCTCTCGGCTAAGTTTCTGCTCTGGTCCCACCTAGTGCTGCTTCAGAGCAAGTCCCCTGCAGGGATGTGACCTAGATTAGCGGTTCCCAGTCCCGCAAGCGATCAGAATCACCTGAAGCCTGCCCGTGGGGCCCACCCTCAAGGAGGATGGCTCAACAGCCTGGGCAGCTGTTTTAAAGCTCCACAGGTGATACTCATGAGCACACAAACTCAAGGACCATCTCACGACTACAGAGATGCATAAGGTTTCTAACCTGGTATCTGGCATTCCCTTCACTTCTCCCTACCACCAGCACCATCTCCACACTTGGGTAGCACGCTGCAGTGGGCTAGCACTTTCTGCTATTTCAAGATGTCAAGCTTGGGATGCCTGGGTGGCTCAGTGGGTTAAAGCCTCTGCTTCAGCTCAGGTCATGATCCCGGGGTCCTGGAATCGAGTCCCGCATTGGGCTCTCTGCTCCGCAGGGAGTCTGCTTCCTCCTCTCTCTGCCTGCTTCTCTGCCTACTTGTGATCTCTGCCTGTCAAATAAATAAATAAAATCTTAAGGAAAAAAAAACATTAAAACTAAAAAAAAAAAAAAAGTCAAGCTTGATCAAACACAATCCCATAGCAGGAGACTCACCCACAGCATCTCATTTAATCCCCAGCGAATCCTGGAGAAGTTCAGTCACCTGCCCAAGATCCCACCGTTAGCTTCAAGCCCAGGAGAACCGGCCCTAGGGTCCACCCTTCTATTGGATGCCTCTCTGAGTGCCCCAAGCCCAGCAGCTCCCCAGATGTCCTGGGAAGCGGAAGGAGCAGGTCAGAACCCGTGAGACATGGGAGAAAGGAATCAGCCACCGAACTTTAAGGAAAGCCCACCATTTCTCCTTGGGACCACCTGCCTTTGTGGAACTTCACCCAGAGCTGGTCCTTAAAGGCAACTGGCTAGCACAGGCATGCAAAAGTCATTTTCTTTCCTTCTTCCTGCTCCACTCTGCACCAGCGTGGAAACTGGTTTTACAAACACCTTACACTTCTCTGATCCAGGAGCCATCATCTCTCACTCAGAGGAAGTCTGTTACAGTAGAAGGACCCCTCTTCCCCCATCCTATCCCCTTCAAAAACAAGGCGGAGGACAGCAGTGCCTTCCAACCCCGCTAAGCTTTTAGATAAAGGACCTTTTCTGGGCTCAAGGGCGAGGAGCACAGACTGGGCGTTGGGCCGCTGTTCAACCTCTGTGTGGCTTTGGGTGAAGGAAGACATTTAAAGGCCCGAGGATAGACACGTTCACCCAGACTGAATCAACGCGGCAGCACTAATGCTAGCTGACAAAACTGCGGCCCAGAACGTGTCGGCAAGTGGACGACTCCACCAGCCTGGGGCTTCCTCACAGCCCAAACGAGAGTCTCCGCCTAGGTTTCGGGGTTGAAAACCCAGGCTCCTGGCCCGCTCTCTTACCCGCAGGTGCACAGGTCACAGATGCATTTCCTCTTCAGCCGGGCCATCCCGAGGCCCGGGTGTCCGCGCAGAGCATCCCCCGCTGCCACCTCCGCCTCCTGGGCCCCAGCCTCCTCTCTGGGGGCGTACGAAGTCTCGAGAGCCTTGACCAATGTCCCGAATGTTTACTTCAAAGCGAACTGAAGTGGCCCTTCTGCAAAGGCCTGTCGTCTGCTCCCCTCCTGGAGCTGGCCTTCCACCAGAGCAGCAGTGAGCGTGGACTGCGCGCCAGCCCGGGTGACCTCCCCCTGCAGGCGCCGCCCCAGCCTCTGCACGCCCCAGCCACGCGCCTGGAGCAGCTGCGTGAGCCCAGGATGCCCAGCCGCCCGGGGATGCATGGGGCTTCTGTGACATCGCCAGGGACAGGAGTCGCACCTCGGGGCGGGCAGTGATGTCACAAGGGCCGCTTGTGAGGGCAGGAAGCTCCCAGAGCTTCACCTGGGGGGCCCAGGACAAAGGTCCCTTCCTTGGACTGTAGAGAAATCGAACGGTGAAGGTCATGATGCCTTTGGAAAACCTGAGGGTCCGCGAGTCCACAAAGACCATGATCACGTGTGCACAAGGGCTGAAACTCCACTGGCATGCCATTGGGCAACATTTTTCTATCTCTAGGACCCATGACAACTGCCCCCTTCTTGTAGAAAGGTTTCCTTTGACTTCCCCATGGCTGACCTTAAATACCATTTCCAGACCTTCCTTATAAAAATCAATACCTTTGGCTCCACCCACCCATCGACCTTGCGCTCTTAAGAAAATAGTTTGGTGATGCCTTTGCCTTCAGCCCTTAAGGGAGTGCTTAATCACCTCTCTCAGGGCTAGTAGTGACTCAGTGGTTCTCAATTTTAGAGATCAAGTGTAGCCTTCAGAATCACCTGGTTTAATAAAAGCCAGATTGCCAGCCCCCACACAGGAGTTTCTGATTCAGTAGGTCTGGGGTGAGTGGAGAATTTGTATGCCTAGCAAGTTCCTGAGGGTTGCTGATGCTGCTGGGCCAGGGACCAGACTTTAAGAAGCACAGTTTTGGAGCCCTCCCATAGCACGTGGCTCACCTGATCCCCAGAACCAGTACAGATCCTGCCCAGAAGACACCTGCTAAGCACCATCTCTTGTCTGGGACTGCAGTTCCAGCAGGAAGCCTGGTGATTCTGATTGTGAAGCAAGTTCAGGAGACACTGCTCCAGTGAGATGTTTGGGATCAGACATCACTTCCCACTTAGGGGAACTAGGAGCTTCAAGTATGAATAGTCCTAGGGTGCCTGGGGCCTCAGTCGTTAAACATCTGCCTTTGGCTCAGGGGCACCTGGGTGGTTCAGTGGGTTAAAGCCTCTGCCTTCGGCTCAGGTCATACAGCATCCTGGGATCGAGCCCCGCATCTGGCTCTCTGCTCAGCCCGGAGCCTGCTTCCCTTCCTCTCTCTCTGCCTGCCTCTCTGCCTACTTGTGATCTCTGTTTGTCAAATAAATAAATAAAATCTTTAAAAAAAAAAACAAGTCTGCCTTCAGCTCAGGGCATGATCCCAGAATCCAGGGATCGAGCCCTGCATCCGGCTCCCCACTTGGCAGGAAGCCTGCTTCTCCCTTTCCCACTCCCCCTGCTTGTGTTCCCTCTTTTGCTGTGTCTCTCTCTTTCTGTCAAATAAATAAAATCTTAAAAAAAAATGGACAGTCCTATGTTGCTTTTCGTTCCCATGTTTGCTAACTTGTCCCATCAGTTTTAGCCAATGAGTAAGTGATTAAGTCAGAGCCGCCACAGCAGCGGGACATTTAATATGATGAGTTTGGGGGTTTACTTTCTTCCACATTAGGCTCCAGAACAGAGGTCAGAATACTATTGCCTAGAGGCCAAATTCAGCGGCCATCTGTTTCTGCATGGCTAGCAAGCTAAGAATGGTTTTTGCATTTTTTAATGATTGGAAAAATTAAGACTCCTACATGACCCAAAAAACATAAAATTCAAATTTCAGTGTCTATAAATAAAGTTTTGAAGTTTGTAAAAACAAAATTGTAGAAATGTTCCTGATCTTGCTTGCGGGCCCACAAAAGAACTAAATATTTACCATCTGGCTTTTTACAGAGAAAGTTTGCCGACCCAGATCTAGAAAGTTGAAAAGGTAGATCGAAAGGAGAGCAAAGCTTACTGATCTTAAGAACCGTAGATGATGAAGCTGTTCCTTGCCTTCCAGTAGAAAGTCGGGGTCCTAAAGGGAAAGATGGAAACCTTCTGGGGTGAGGGGAGACCAGATGGAGAGGTGGAAGTTCTTGACAGCCAAGGCAAAGCCTGCATGCCATCCCTTGCCATTGACAGGCAAGAACACATAATCGATTCTTCCAGAGAAACTAAAGTGCTGAACACCAGCCATCTCTTGAGAGCTGCCTAAACACTATCCATGAATCTTCCAGAAGAAGGATGCCCCATTCATGCCCCCAGACTTTAATGAGAACCACCTCCCATGCAGACCACCCTTGTGGATAGATCTTATCAACAACCCGTAGTACTCCCAACTTCCCCCAGCCCTGCCTTCAAAAGAGCAGAGATTTTGAAAGATGGAGGTCATGTGGCTAATATAGCCTTAACACAAGTACTTCCATAGAGCTGGTGTGCGACAGGACAACCTGCCTCACTTTCTACACTTGCTGCCCATGCCATGTTTGTTCTTGCCAACTCCACCCTGCCCATCTAAACACCTCCCTAGCCCTGTTTCAAAATATCCTTGCTTGGGAAGAATTTACTGTCACTTGCTATCCATTAAATACTTCTGCATACCTTCCTGCAAGTTCTCTCATCTCTCTCTTAAAACTGACAAAATCTATTATGAATTGAAACACTGAAGCGAAGGGGTGAACTCAGGATCACACAGCTGGTAAGTTCTGGAACTAGGATTCAGACTCACCTAGGTCTTTCTTTTCAAACTTTTCCACCCAAGAAAAGGACGAAGTAAAAGAATTAATGGGGGAAGGTGGACACCCAGGTGGCTTAGTCCTTTAAGCATCTGCCTTTGGCTCAGGTCATGATCCCAGGGTCCTGGGATTGGGTCCCACACTGGGCTCCTTGCTCAGCAGGAAACTTGCTTCTCCCTCTCCCTCTGCTACTCCCCCATTTGTGTCCTCTCGCTCTCACTCTTTCTCTCTCTGACCAATAATAAATCTTTTTTAAAATTTCATTTAAAAAAAATGAGGAACCTGGAGATCTTAAAGACCACTGCAAACAATATTTTATCTTGAAACTTTATATTTGCTTCTTTTTTTAAATTTTTTCTTTATTTGACAGAGAGAGAGAGAGATCACAAGTAGGCAGAGAGGCAGGTAGAGAGACGGGGAAGTAGGCTCCCCATTGAGCAGAGAGCCTGCTGGGGCTTGATCCCAGGACCCTAAGATCATGACCTGAGCCAAAGGCAGAGGCTTAAGCCACTGAGCCACCCAGGTGCCCCTTACATTTGCTTCTTAATAGGACCATTTTTATTTACTATTTCCCCACAATCTTTCTTTAAAATTAACAATGAAGCTATACGATTTTTATTCTATAGCCTTATAACTCATCCAACCCCAAACTCATTGCTGTATATCATCTGAAAATCTACTCTTTGTAGAACACTGTTTTTTGTTTTATTTTGTTTTGTTTTGTTTTGGAACACTGTTTAAAAACATATGATTGGGGCGCCTGGGTGGCTCAGTGGGGTAAAGCCTCTGCCTTCAGCTCAGGTCATGATCTCAGGGTCCTGGGATCGAGTCTCACGTCAGGCTCTCTGCTCAGCAGGGAGCTGCTTCCTCCCCTCTCTCTCTGCCTGCCTCTCTGCCTACTTGTGATCTTTCTCTGTCAAATAAATAAATAAATCTTTAAAAAAATAAAAATAAAAACGTATGATTGGTTGGGACACCTGGGTGGCTCAATTAGTTAAGCTGCTGCCTTTAGCTCAGGTTATGATCCCAGGGTCCTTGCTCGGCAGGGAGCCTGCTTCTCTCTTTGCCTCTTCCTGCTTGTGTGCTCTCTCTCTCTCTCTCTCTCTCTCTGACAAATAAATAAATAAAATATTAAAAACATATGGTTAGGGGGCACCTGGGTGGTTCCATCAGTTAAGCACCCAACTCTGGATTTTGGCTCAGGCTGTGATCTTAGGGTTGTGAGATCGAACCCTGTGTCGGGATCCATGCTGGGTGTGGAGCCTGCTTAGTATTCTCTCTCTCCCTCTGCCCTTCCAAGCCCATGCTCACTCACTCTCTCTCTCTGAAAGAAAAAAAAAAAATTCCATGGTCAGTCCTCTGAATGCACAGTGCTTTAGTAAAACATTGTCTTTTCATCACCCTTAAATATTTAGGGTTGCTAAATTTCACTGGCACCAGCAGAAGACTAGCCCATCGTAACACACAAACCTCCACCTCTCCACTGCTTAGTCACTCCACTGACAATGACCAGAAACCGCCACTTTCCTAACAGTGCACGGGAGAAGAATGAGGCACAAACAAGTCAGCAGTAAGAGAGAGGGAGCCGGGGATGACAGCTGGAAGGACTGTCGCCCTGAACAACTCCTCCGTCCCATATTTATTAGATATAAGATAGCAACAAAGGAGAAGAAAAGAAGGTTATAGAATAGTCATATATCTAGTAGGTAAACTAGAAGGAATGTGAGTCATATGTTGGTCACAAGTTTTAGAGGTAAACAAGGTTAAACAAGAAGAGGAGTAAAGGGTGTCTGGTCTAGCAGCAGGGATTTGTAGTTGAGCAAGAGCACTTAAAGGGATTACCTTAGGAGGAGGCTTCCTCTGAGGTAGGGGAGACCACAAAAAAGGGAAACAAGGTGGTGTTCCACCTGGAGCCGGCCGGGCGCTCCCAGCTGCTTGGCTTCCATGACTTGAATCATCCTCTCCACCAGAGGCCTGCTGCTAGTACATGCTTTTCCCAAGGTCATCTTTAAGCATGTTTGCATGACCAGTACAACTCCTCATTAGTTAAAGTTATACTTCAAGTGGTATATTATTCTGAGGGACGGTTAAAAGAAACATCACGGACAAACATGCTCCAGTCCCCTGGCTAGTCAAGCCAGCCACTGGGCTGAATGTTGGAGACACGGACAATGTTCTCACGACA